CATGTTAGATAAGACACATATGCAACAGTTAGGTATTTTTATTTCGAAACGTTTCGCCTACACAGTATGCTTCTTCAGTCGAGTACAGAAAAATTGATAGAAGCAGAAGAGACGTGAAGACGATGTAATCAGTCCATCACCTTTGAAGTTTTGAGGTGGTCAGTCCCTCAGTCTGGAGAAGAATATTGTTCCATAGTCTAAAACAATATTGTTTCAGCATTGTTTCAGACTACGAAACAATACTCTTCTCCAGACTGAGGGACTGACCACCTCAAAACTTCAAGGGTGATGTACTGATTACATCGTCTTCACGTCTCTTCTGCTTCTATCAACTTTCCTGTACTCGACTGAAGAAGCCTACTGTGTAGGCAAAACATTTCGAAATAAAGATACCTAACTGTTGCATATGTGTCTTACCTAACAACCTGTTGGTATTTTATACCATTTTTATGTTTATATACATTACATACCTGGAGTTTTCCTGGAGTGGGTTTTAGGGGTCAGTGCCCCCGTGGCCCGGTCAGAGACCAGGCCTCATGGTGGATCAGGGTCTGATCAACCAGGCTGTTACTGTTGGCCGCACGCAAGCTGGCGTATGAACCACAGCCTGGTTGGTCAGGTACTGACTTTAGGTGCCTGTCCAGTGCCTTCTTGAAGACAGCCAGGGGTCTGTTGGTAATCCCCCTTATGTATGCTGGGAGGCAATTGAACAGTCTTGGGCCCTGGACACTTATTGTGTTGTCTCTCAATGTACTTGTCACACTCCTGCTTTTCATCGGGGGAATGTTGCACCTCCTGCCGAGTTTTTTGCTTTCATAGGGAATGATTTTCATGTGCTGGTTTGGTGCCAATCCCTCCAGGACCTTCCAAGTGTATATTATCATGTATCTCTCTCGCCTGTATTCGAGGGAATACAGATCAAGGACCTTCAACCATTCCCAGTAGTTTAGGTGCCTTATCATACTTACGTGTGTCATGAAAGTTCTTTGTACACTCTCCAGGCCTGCAATGTCACCAGCCTTGAAGGGGGCCATTAGTGTACAGCAGTATTCCAGCCTAGAAAGCACAAGCGATTTGAAGAGAAGCATCATGGTCTTGGCATCCCTAGTTTTGAAGGTTCTCATTACCCATCTTATCATTTTTCTAGCGGATGAGGTAGATACATTGTTGTGGTCTTTGAAGACGAGACATGTATGTATTTTACGATGTTTTCGTGTGTTTTATGATTGTTCATGGTTTAATAGGTTAAGGAAGCAGTATTTTATTATATTTCCCTACAGTATATTGTGGCACCAAACATTTGCGAAGCTCTTGATGTTGAGGGAGACCTGTACTCAAATACATTGGTACCTTGAGTTACAAATTTAATTAATTCCAGTAAGCTGTTCGAGCGCCAATACTGAACAATCTTGTTCCCATAATGAATAATGTAAATTAGATTAATCCATTTCAGACCCCCAAAAATACACTTACAAAAGCACTTACAAAAAATACACTGACATAATTGTTCAAGTTGGGAGCAGTTTATGTGCTGAGGTACCACTGTAGTCACAAACACAGTGACAGGTAAACATATTCACCTACCTTAGTCACATACTATTGTCTAGAAGTATATACAATACATAGCACAGTGGACCCTTGGTTATCGGCCGTAATCCACTCCAAAAGCTCGGCCAAAAATCAAAATAGTATTCCCCACAAGAATTAATGTAAATACAGTTAATCCGTTTCAGACACCCAAAAATATTCACCAAAAAAAAAAAATGAACAATTAAATCAGTATTACATTCCTTTATTGAAGACTGTTGTTGGCTTCTGGAAGATAGGGAGGAGGAGAGAGGGAGGATTTATTGTTTGGAAAGGGAATCCCTCTTCATAAGGACTTCAGGTAGCAAAGCCCTCTCTGGTGTTACTTCTCTTCTTCGTCTTTTAATGCCACTAGGACCAACTTGAGTCACTGGACCCCTGTTACACAAAATAACTGTTCAGAGAAGTCTGTTTCTGGCATCTCTTTAAGATTTCCCGAAGTGGGACAAGGTTTTGTCACTGATCATGTTGCAGATATGGCTTGTTTCAGCGTGGTCAGGATGGTATTTCTCGACTAAACTTTCCAACTCATTCCACTTTGCACACATGTCCTTAATCACTGAAGAAGGCACCTTCTCCCCCTCTCTCTTCCTCCTCCTCTGAAGCAATTTCCTCAGCTGTGGTCTGTTGCTCTTCCAGATGAAGCTTTTGTAGCTCTTCATTGGTTAGCTCTTGCCTGTGGTCCTCATCCAATTTTTCCACATCCTCACCGCTAACCTCCAACCCCATGGACTTTCCCAATGCCACAATAGATTCCACAACAGGCGTAGGGTCATCAGGGTCAGCCTCAAACCCTTGAAAATCCCTCTCTGGGACTCTATCTGGCCACAATTTTCTCTTAGCAGAGTTCACAGCCCTGGAAATTGCTCCCTCCTAAGCCTTACCTATAAGGCTTATGCAATGGAGGATGCTGAAGTGATTTCTCTAGAACTCATTGTATTGAGCACAATAACTGCACTAAAGTTTTTTATTATAATATTGTTTACAACAACAAATATGCACAAATGTTGTATATTAGTAATGTTCTCTTATATATTTACATGTGTACAGTCACTGGACATGTTTCTAGAACTGCTGCAGTGTGTTAAGTCTTTGAAACAAGGTATCATGCACACTGGTATCTTACATTCCTCGCACATAAACCGAGTGTCTGCGTCTTTGTTGCCATTGTTTTGTTTGTGTGCGCAGACAATACATCTCTTCTGAGCCCATTTCTTAGTTGTAGGATGTTGTATTAGGAAGTGATCACCTTCCTGCCTTAAACACTTGGGTAATTCCTGATCAGTTTGTGGGTGGTTTTCTATAGCAGGTGTTGTTACCTGGTACTTGATTATTAGTTGTCCGACGACAGATAAACTTCACTATATGGTAGTCTGTGGCCGGTCTTTATTTGGTACATATTATATGCATGGAGCATTGAAATGTCCATGAGATGGAAGAAAAGTTTCATGTACCACTTGTAACTCTTATGAACACAATTGACAAAGCCAATCTGCACGTCACAATTGTTAACCAAACACATGTTTTGTGTATAATCAATCACTGTTGGTGGTTTTAGAATATGTGCATTAATCACTATTCACCTTGCCACCATCTTTCATTTCATTATGGTGAATGGATGTCATGAATGTGACATCTCCTTTGTCATGCCACTTTAATGCCATGATGTAACTGGCAGCAAATACTTGCACCTCACCACTATGAGTGCCTGTGGTGAATCTAGGCATATGTTTATGATCAGAATGCACTTCTGTCATGTTAACTCGCAAGAAATCACTGAGTAATGGGCTTGTGTATCAGTTGTCAGTATATAATGTATGCCTCTTACCAAGATATGGTGCCGTCATTGTTCTCACTATGTCACCTGAGATACCCAATAACATCCTGGCATCTTTCAATGTTTTACTTCCCTTGTATATAGTTATGTCCAATACCAGGCCACTGTCACAGTCACAGAGTACAAACAGCTTTATGCCGAAGCGTTTCCTCTTGCTCGGTATATGCTGCTTGAACGACAATCTATCTGCCTTTTAAACAAAATTAAAGACTCGTCAATTACGAGATTTTTAAATGGAAAAAAGTACATGTTGAACTTTTGTTTCAGATGCATAAAACATTTCTAATCTTGTATAACCTGTCATTTCTGTCATGCCTTGTTGTGTCAGAGAAGTGCAACATACGTAACAGTAAAATAAATCTGTTCACTTGGATGATTTCACTGATGTCTGGGGTAGAAATTAGCTGATCTGTGGACAAGTATGATTTCATATTATGCTTTTAGACATGAGGCATAAGTATTATTGTTGCAAAAAACAAATACATTTCAGCCACAGTTGTCTCTTTCCACTGGTGTAGTCTTGACTGTGGTGATATGATTCTATTTGCCATGGTGTACCCAGAATACTGTCCCTGACAATATTTTCCATCAAGGGCTGGTCAAATAATAGTTCAAGGAATTCCAGTTCATTTGCAGTGTTTCCAGGGGAACAAGCTGGCAGAGTTCCACTTCGAGTGTCATCAAACTGATGGGGATTGCGAACAAAATTGGGATTTTGCTGTCAATCCCAGATGCAGATTGCCAGTGGATCTTGCACACCATAAGCTGGTTGTGGTTGTAGTTTTGGTTGTGGTGTGGGGGTGGATGATGCTCCGCTTTATCCTGGACCTTATGAGTCAGCCACGTGGGTCCCAACCTGGGCTGTTGTGTCATGCTGTGTGGCTGTGGCACCTCCACCACCACTGTCACCACCATTACCACCACCTACTGATGTCTGTGGTCTATCCATGCACAATTTGTGATTTATCTTGAAGATCTGTACAGATAAACATTTAAAAGGGACAATTTTATTTAGTGAAACATGTGACAGTAGATCAAAAATTATTTTAGTTCAATATGTTGTGTTGGTAATTGTGAAATACTATACTGACTCATGTTTCTATTGCAGAAATATTTTGTGGAAGACTACCAGGTTGTGTCTTGCCAGACACTATATCTTCAATACTTCAAGAAGCACCAGTGTAAGTGTCTTGAACAACAACTGATATTGCAGAAGTATTTTGTGGAAGACTACCAGGTTGTGTCTTGCCAGACACTATATCTTCAGTACTTCAAGAAGCACCAGTGTAAGTGTCTTGAACAACAACTGATATTGCAGAAGTATTTTGTGGAAGACTACCAGGTTGTGTCTTGCCAGACACTATATCTTCAGTACTTCAAGAAGAGTGTAAGTGCTTGACAACATCTGATTATTCTAGAGTATTTTTAAACTAGTCTTAATTTTTACTTTAAAAAACATTGTTTTCTTTTGGAATTTCTATATAAAATTAACATTTTGCTTTTCTTTGGGAATTTTGTATTAATACAGGCAGTTAATTCAGGATCCAATTTTGTAGTTTACATCAAGCCAGCTCCGCTCACTCAGATATTCTGTGAGCAGTAAATTTGGGCCTAAATATGAGAGAATGCATCAACATGGTAAGTGTGCACCATATAAAACAAATCCTGCAGCACAAAGTACATAATGATAAAAAAAACGACTTTATTTTTGGATTAAAACAGCAAATTTTCGGTGTATTTTCATATGGTTTTTATGGTAGCATTCACTGTTTCTTCGTCTCATGTGATAGAATTGAAGATGTATTACATAAATGATTTTGTTAGGTTTTAGCGCTAAGAATAGCCTGAAATTGAGCTCAGAATAACAAAAATGTTCTGTTTTTGCCGATGTTAGAGGGTAAACAAATCTCATCACGCGTCCAATACATGTCAGATGGTGGGTCAGATGTGCATTCCTGAATGCTCTGATATTATTCATACAATTATTACAATACTGAATAACAATAAATCTTTTTTTGTGTGTGTGTGTGTGCGAATAAAAATTATCTGTGATTAAAAAATCAAAATGAAATTCATCTGTAAAGACTGGAAATGTAACTAATAAATAGTGGAAATGTTAGTTTAGTGCCAAGAATGCCTGCATTGTTTCTTCTGGACCCTATTTTGAAATTAGAATATTTTGAACTCTGTGTGAAATTGGCCCAATTACCAATTTCTGATCTTATTGGGCAGTTGAAATAGTTGATTTGGGCAATTTCCTGTGCTTAATAGATGAAATTGAACACATACTAGCAAAATAGATAAGAATTTGGTCTAATGGATCAATGTAACTGGCCAAAAACAAGACCCAAAGTCGGCAAAATTGCCAATGCGTAAACATTGCTTACACAGGAAAATTCATGGGAGCATAACTTCATAAATTCTTGATCAAATTTAATACTTTTTGTTTTATTACCTTCAGAAAAAGATTCTCTACCATTTCATAAGAAAAAATTATATATTTTTTTTTTTAGAATCTTGGACTTTGTGGGGAATTTTCAAATTGGGGGTCTGAAACCTCAAAGGGTTAATGAAAAAAAAAAAAAGTTAGTAATTCCATAATTAAACATTTTCAGAAAAATTTGTTTAAACACAAGAGCAAATAATAATAAAAATGTCGTTGAATATATCTGCAGTGTTCTAATATATTTATTAATATTTTAACACAACAAAAATTATAATAGTGTTTTGACACACAATATAAACTTTATTAGCGCTCATAAGTAGGAAAAGTTTTGCCTAAATAAATCTTAACATAGGATTTTTTCATAAGGAAAACCATGTGTTCAGTGTCAAAAATAATTAAAAAATAAAATCATGAAATAAACATTTGAGTGCATAAGGAAGATTAACTGTACCACAGTTGTATGACTAAAATATTTTAAATGAAATACCTTCATTTAAAAAATATGGAAAAACATAAAGAACATAAACCATATCAATGTTCAGAGTGTCTGAAATGTTTTAGTGGAAAAAAAAATCTTTTGACACATATGAGAGTACATACAAGAGAGAAACCATATCAGTGTTCAGAGTGTCTGAAACGTTTTACTGAAAAAGACAATCTTATGACACATATGAAAGTACATACTGGAGAGAAACCATATCAATGTTCAGAGTGTCTGAAATGTTTTAGTCAAAAAGGTAGTCTTGTGAGACATATGAGAGTACATACAGGAGCAAAACCATATCAGTGTTCAGAGTGTCTGAAGTGTTTTACTGAAAAAGACAATCTTATGACACATATGAAAGTACATACTGGAGAGAAACCATATCAATGTTCAGAGTGTCTGAAATGTTTTAGTCAAAAAGGTAGTCTTGTGATACATATGAGAATACATACAGGAGAGAAACCATATCAATGCTCAGAGTGCCTGAAATGTTATAGTCAAAAAAGCAGTCTTGTGACACATATGAGAGTACATACAGGAGAGAAACCATATGAATGTTCAGAGTGCCTGAAATGTTATAGTCAAAAAAGCAGTCTTGTGACACATATGAGAGTACATACAGGAGAGAAACCATATGAATGTTCAGAGTGCCTGAAATGTTTTAGTGAAAAAAAAAGTCTTGTGACACATATGAGAGTACATACAGGAGAGAAACCATATGAATGTTCAGAGTGCCTGAAATGTTTTAGTGTAAAAAACAGTCTTGTGACACATATGAGAGTGCATATAGGAGAGAAACCATATGAATGTTCAGAGTGCCTGAAATGTTTTAGTAAAAAAAAAAGTCTTGTGACACATATGAGAGTACATACAGGAGAGAAACCATATGAATGTTCAGAGTGCCTGAAATGTTTTAGTGTAAAAAACAGTCTTGTGACACATATGAGAATACATACAGGAGAGAAACCATATGAATGTTCAGAGTGCCTGAAATGTTTTAGTGAAAAAAAAAGTCTTGTGACACATATGAGAGTACATACAGGAGATAAACCATATCAATGTTCAGTGTGTCTGAAATGTTTTAGTCATAAAAGCATTCTTGTGGCACATGTGAGAGTACATACAGGAGATAAACCATATCAATGTTCAGGGTGTCTGAAATGTTATAGTCAAAAAAGCAGTCTTGTGACACATATGAGAGTACATACAGGAGAGAAACCATATCAATGTTCAGAGTGTCTGAAATGTTTTATTGAAAAAAGCAAACTTGTGACACATATGAGAGTACATACAGGAGATAAACCATATCAATGTTCAGAGTGTCTGAAATGTTATCATCAAAAAAGCAGTCTTGTGACACATATGAGAGTACATACAGGAGATAAACCATATCAATGTTCAGGGTGTCTGAAATGTTATAGTAAAAAAAGCAGTCTTGTGACACATATGAGAGTACATACAGGAGAGAAACCATATCAATATTCAGAGTGTCTGAAATGTTTTATTGAAAAAAGGAAACTTGTGAGACATACGAGAGGACATACAGGACTTGACCCCTGCAACCACAACTAGGTGAGTACAGGAGATAAACCATATCAATGTGCTGAGTGTCTCAGATGTTTTAGTGTAAAAGGTCATCTTGTGAGACATTCACAAGTACATTCAGGAGATAAAACATGTTAGTGTTAATTTTTCAGGAATATTTTAGTTATAAACTCACGAGAATACATAATAGGGATATACCATAACTGCATTGTAGGAGTGCCTTTTCGAAGTCATTTGGCATCAGCATAATATCAGATAGGTTTGAGGTTACAAAATTCTGTTATATAAAAAATTCATTTAGGTCTTCAACTCTCAGTCATACTGGGACTTAAGTAGCTTACTCATTTCCTTGCTATCATCTGTGTAGGACCCATCTCATTTAAGTAGGTGCTCAATACTGGATGTTCTCAACATTGATTTGGCATAACAAAAGAAATATTTTGGGTTTCTTTCAATTTCATTTATGGCTTTTAGTTCTTCCCACATATCTTGACTCCCATAAGATTCCTTTAGCTGAAATTCAGTGTTTGCTATTTCTCTGGCCAGTGTCTCCATACGTATTACAGATATGTTGGCCTCTTTTAACCGCTCTCTTATTCTTTGCCTTTGCCTGTATAGGGAGTGCCTTTCTCTTTCTAGTTTACATCTCCTTTTCCTTAAAGGAAATATAAAATGTAATAATTGGGAAGAACAAATGTAAATATTATGCTAAGAATACCTCTTCAAGGGGGGCTCCTTGGCGTGGTGAAGAGGCTTTTGGTCTGAGGAATTAGACCTGTCAGTCTCCTTCCTCAGACTGAACCTAATTACCCCCCAATCCCCCCTTCCCTATCCCATTCTCCCCATCCTCCCTTTTTTCCTTTCCTCCTCCTCCTCCCCACCCCCTCCCTTTTGCCCTTCCTCTTTTTGGCCTTTGGGATTTTTCCCACAGGTGCACTAGTTCCTAGGTAGGGGAAAGGGTACCGGGGTCCATCCCATTCCATTGAGGTTCTTGGTAGTGGCGTAGTTTGCCATGGAATCTGGATCGCCTGGGGATGTCCCGATCTCTCTCCGGTACCCCGGAGGGTGGCTTTGGGTGTCTTTCGGGCGACGGGTGGATCTCTGGAAGTCACCTTTCGGATTCCGATGGTGGTGGCCGAAGGAGGTATGCTTTGTGGCAGATATCCGGCCGCCCTCTCTTTTGTCCACTGAGGTAGCTCAGCAGATGTGAGGTTGCTATCCCGGATTGCTGGTTTACTGTCATGGAGGGTAGGGTATGGCACGGGTTCCATGCTGCATCTGCGCTACTTGTGGTGCTTAGGTCCTCTTGGGCATGGAGGGAGATTTCTGGCCCTTTCATTCCTCCTAGGAACTATCCCAAGTCCCCCCTTTTTTTTATTTTTTTTTTTTATTTTCTTCTTTCTTTTTTTTTTCTTAAAAACAAAAAGAAAGAAGCAACCTAACCATGGAGTTCCCAATCCATGAACCCGCTAACCCCGGGCCCCTTCTTGTTACCGCACCCCGTTCTGACCTCGCCTCATCCTTTGACCACTCTTTGGACAATCCTAAGGCCCCTGCACCTCTTGCTGGTGCTGTTTCGTCACCCGCTTCAGGTGCCGGGGTTTCAACTGACTCCTTCGATTTGTCTGACCTCCACTCTCCTTTGACTATGCTTCCGGCCTCTCCCTATATGGTGCAGCAATTTTTGAATCGCCAGCCCATCCCACGTCGGACCAACTCTGGTCCCACTTCTAAACGCCAAGGACAATCTCCTGATAATGTTACTTCGTTACCCTCCCATTCTACTTGGAAAACACCGACATGTCATGCACTCCCTCTCCACACTCAGTTTCAGACCACATAATGGACTAAATTCTTTACTTTAAGACTGACTTCTTCTACTGCCTATCTTTCCGACCATAATATTGGCAAAGCGCTCCTATGCCATGTTGGTAGAGATATTTCCTTTCATGCTCTTAAGAGTAGTACATGCATCATCACAGTCCAGAATGCTACCCAAGCTCATGATCTTTCTCTTCTTTCACATTTTTTTTTTTTATTATCACACTGGCCGATTCCCACCAAGGCAGGGTGGCCCGAAAAAGAAAAACTTTCACCATCATTCACTCCATCACTGTCATGCCAGAAGGGTGCTTTACACTACAGTTTTTAAACTGCAACATTAACACCCCTCCTTCTTTCACATATCAATACTATTCCTATCACTATCGAAAAACATCATTCCCTCAATTCTTGTAGTGGTACTATTATTCTGCCCCATACCATAGCCCAACAGAATTTCCGGACATGTGGCAATGACATTCTCGAACAGCTGGAACTCCAAGATCTCCCAATTCTCAAGGTAGACACTTATGTTCTTCCTGCCCGTGGGCGGAGACAACACCCTGCAATGTGGCTCGTTTAAATTTTGACAGCTGTGAACTCCTATCCTCTGTTTATGTAGCAGGACATCGGTTACAAGTTCGAAAGGTGATCCCTACTCCGCAACAGTGTAGAAATTGCTGGCGATTTGGCCACCCAGCGAAATATTGCAGATCTATAGCTGAATGCCCAGTCTGTGGTGCTGATGACCATTCTAATATGTCTTGCAGTCGACCTCTCTCTTGCCTTAATTGTCATGAGGCTCACCCTTCATACTTTCGCCATTGCCAGGTATACTTAAATGAGCAGGAAATTCGTTGCCTCAATGAGGCAGAAGGTCTCCCTAATGCTATGGCAGTTTCTCATCTCCACCTCCAATTGAGACTACCCCATGTTTCTTATTCTCGTGTTTCAAAATGTCCCCCCACTTCTGGGGTCATATTTTCTGCAGCCTCCTCTGTGGTTGCCAGTCCCATGGTCACTCCTATATCTAATTCTTTTGCTGTCCTGGGCTCAGACATCCCTACTTCAACACCTCAGTCTGTTCTCACTTCTTCGTGTTCTCCCTCACAAACCCCGGTATCGACAAGACCTCATACGACACCTCCTCCCAATTGTCCCTCTACTTCTCAAAGTCCAAAAAATCTCCTTTAACCCCTCCTTCCCTTCATCCACCTCCACATTTTACCTTCCTGGTCTCTGTACCTGGGTCTTCCCCTTTCACTGGCTCTGTTACAAGTGTGGAGGTTCATCCTCCTCCTCGTACTGTGCCTTCCTCCCCTGTCCCCTCCCAAGTTTCTTCCTCTTCTGCCACCTCCCAGGTTTCTGCCTCTTCTGTCCCCTCCCACACTTCTCCAGTTCCCTCCACCCTTTTGCCTCCCCCTACCTTGGTACAGTCCATTACAGTTCTGATCTGTACTCAAACTCCTCCTCCTTCCATCTCCAATATTGTCTTCCATGTGACATCTCTGAACTCCGAAACACTTGAAGCAATCTCTGAATATATTGCAAGGACCAAACCATCAATGGACACTGATCCACCCTCTGTTCCTTCTCTTTCCTCTTCTCCATCTGCACCTCTTCAAGGGGGGCTCCTTGGTGTGGTGAGGAGCCTCTTGGTCTGAGGAATTACACCTGTTGGTCTCCTTCCTCAGACCAAACCTAATTACCCCCCAATCCCCCCTCCCTTATCCCATCCTCCCTTTTTCTTTTCCTCCTCCTCCTCCCCACCCCTCCCTATTACCCTTCCTCTTTTTTTTTTCCCACAAGCATGCTAGTTCCTGGGTAGGGGAAAGGGTACTGGGGTCCATCCCATTCCGTTGAGGTTCTTGGCGGTGATGTAGTTTGCTGTGGAATCTGGATCGCCTGGGGATGTCCCAATCCCTTTCTGGTCTCCCAGGGAGTGGCTTTGGGTATCTTTTGGGTGACGGGTGTATCTCTGGAGGCTGCCTTTCAGAATCCGGGGGTGGTGCACAAAGGAGGTATGCTTTGTGGCAGATATCCGGCTGCCCTCTCTTTTGTCCACCGAGATAGCTCGGCAGATGTGAGGTTGCTATCCCAGATTGCTGGTTTACTGGCATAATGGGTAGGGTATGGCACGGGTTCCATGCTGCATCTGCACTACTTGCGGTGCTGAGGTCCTCTTGGGCGCAGAGGGAGAATTCTGGCCCTCTCATTCCTCCTAGGAGCTATCCCTCCCCAGTCCCCCCTTTTTTTATCCTTTTTTTTATTTTTATTTTCTTTTCTTTCTTTTTTCTTAAAAACAAAAAGAAAGAAGTAACCTAACCAAGGAAGCCCTAGTCCACGAACCCGCTACCCCCGGGCCCTTTCTTGATACTGCACCCTGTTCTGACCCTGCCTCGTCTTTGGACCACTCTTCGGACACTCCTAATGCCTCTGTACCTCTTGCTGGTGCTGTTTCCTCACCCGCTTCAGGTACTGAGGTCTTGACTGACTCCTTCAATTTATCTGACCTCCGCTCTTCTTTGACTATGCTTCTGGCCTCTCCCTCTACTGTGCAGCAATTTTCGAATTGCTTAAAATTTTCCGCTGCCACCTCATATGAACTTTTCTAACCCCTCTAGTCCATAAGTACCCTTACCTGCGGATTTCTAGTATCTTTATCGTTGCCAGTCATGGCCTATTTACAGTGGAATATACGCAGCCTCAAGGGTAATTGGGGTGAGCTTCAGATGTTGCTCTCCCAATTTTTCCTTGTTGGTGTTTGCTTACAAGAACCAAAATTACACTCTGGTGTCATGTATCCCATCTCAGGCTATAATTTATTGTATTCTTTGGATTCTTTTCCTGATGGGACCTTTAATGAAAGTGCCCTTCTTCTACGCACTGATATTCCGTACCATCAGCTATTTGTTCGTATTTCGCTGCATTACACAGCAGCCCGTATCCACCTGCATAGGTGGTATACACTCTCTACTTTGTATCTCTCTCCTTCTTGAGCATTATCTATTCTGGATACTGCCTTTCTTGTTTCGTCATTACCGCCACCACTTCTGTTACTTGGCGATTTTAATGTCCATCATTTCCTCTGGGGGGTCTCACTGTGATTCCCGTGGCATTCAGTAAGAGGCTTTTCTTGCTTCCCACCCCGTCCATGTTTTAAATACGAGTACTCACACCCATTTTGATCCTTGTACTCATTCTCTCTCTTCCATCGATCTCTCAGTCTGCTCTTCCTCCGCCGCACTAGATTTCACCTGGTCTGTTCTCCCGGATTTACAGGACAGCTATCATTTTCCAATCATTCTTACTTCCCCTTCATATTCACCACCTCTTCGTAACCCACGCTGGCAATTTGATGAGGCAAATTGGGACCTTTACTCACAACTAACTATTTTTAGTGAGGTTCCTTCTTCGTCCTCCATTGATGAGCTTTTATACCTCTTCTCTTCCTCAGTTTTAACTGCAGCTTCTCATTCTATTCCCCAAACCTCAGGCAGGCATTCTCAGAAATGCGTGCCTTGGTGGTCTCATGCTTGTGCTCATGCAGTACATTATAAATGCGCTATGTGGGGCAGGTACCAGTACAATACAACCACTGAGAGACTTGTTGATTTTAAGCAGAAGCATGCAATCACTCGCCATGTCATCCGTGATGCTAAACGCACTTGCTGGTGAGATTATGTCTCCTCTATCACCTCTGCTTCCTCTATGAGTGCAGTCTGGAAAAAAGTACTGAAACTGTGTGGTAAATATTCTCCTGACCTGGCTCCTGTTCTGCGGGTTGCCAGTGTTGATATAGCAAACCCTCTAGATGTTGCCATTGAAATTGGCAATCATCTGGTCCGTATTTCTCTGGGGCATCGTCTCTGCCTCTCGTTTTTTCCTCAAAGTCTGCCAGAGAGTTAGCACCCTTGGACTTTTCTTCTCTCAGAGAAGAACAGTATAATGTGCCTTTACATTTCAGGAACTGGAGGCAACACTCTCAGCTTGCCGATCATCGACAGCTGGGCCTGACAACATTCATATTCGTATGTTACAACATTTACATCAGTCAGCCCTTGCAGTCTTCTTACGCCTTTTCAATCTTATTTGGTCACAAGGAGTTCTTCCACAGCTGTGTAAATCTGCCATTGTTCTCCCTTTCTGCAAACCAGGTGCTATGGGACATGAAGCCTCCCACTATCAACCCATCGCTTTTACCAATGCAGTTTGCAAAGTGATGGAATGTCTGGTAAATAGACGTTTAATGTTGTATTTAGAGACACACAACAGTCTCTCCACTCATCATTATGGCTCATTATGGGTTTCGTAAAGGCCGTTCTACCATAGACCCTTTACTACTCTTGGATACACTTGTTTGTAATGCCTTTGGGAATAACCACTCAGTTATTGCCATATTTTTTGACCTTGAGAAGGCATATGACACAATTTGGAGGTATAATATTTTGGCCCAAGCCCACTCCTTAGGCCTCCGAGGCAATCTTGATGTTGGTGAGGGGCTCTTCAATTAGGGAATTGGATCTGTGCTCCAGTTCCCCGAATTAAGCCTGAATGCCTTCCACCTCCCCCCCCCCCAAGGCGCTGTATAATCCTCCGGGTTTAGCGCTTCCCCCTTGATTCTAATAATAATAATCCGAGGCAATCTACCATCTTTCCTTAAGAACTTTTTAACTGACAGACATTTCCGTGTTCGAGTCAATAATGTGCTCTCCCTGGACTTTGTCCAATCTGAAGGTGTCCCTCAGGGATGTGTTCTGAGCACAACACTTTTTCTCCTTGCTATAAATGATTTTGCCTCTGTCCTTCAATCCAATATTTGGTCATCACTCTATGTAGATGACTTCGCTATTGCTTGTGCAGGCACTGACTGTCACCTCATTTCAGTTTCTCTCCAGCATGTGGTCGACCGTGTTTCCAATTGGGCCACCATGCATGGGTTTAAATTTTCCAGTACCAAAACTCACCAGATTACTTTCACTAGATGCTCTGTCATCTCCGATCATCCTTTGTACCTCTATTGCTCCCGTATCCCTGAACGTGATACAGTCAGGTTTCTAGGCCTTCTCTTTGACCGTAAGTTATCCTGGAAACCCCACATTACCTCTCTAAAGGCAACTTGTCACACCCAGCTGAACCTTCTTAAAACCCTTGCTCATCTTTCATGGGGAGCTGATCGTCTAACTCTCCTTCGCCTACATTCAGCCCTCATTTTATCGAAACTTGATTATGGTGACCAGATCTATTCAGCGGCCTCTCCTGCTACTCTCTCTAGCCTTAACCCCATTCATCACCAAGGATTACGTTTATGCCTTGGTGCTTTTCTCTCTTACCCTGTTGAGAGCCTCTATGCAGAAGCGAACGTTCCATCCTTATCCGATCGCCGTGATGCCCATTGCCTTCACTACTATATACGCTCATGATATCTGCAATCCTTCCATTTATATAATGGTCACTGATATTGGTAGACATTCTTTATTTGTTCGCTGCCCCTGTTTACTCCGTCCCTTCTCTCTTCGCCTTCATTCGCTCTTGTCTTCTCTTCAATTACCAACTTTCTATGTTCATGTAGCATCTCACTTTTCCCTACCCCCCTGGGAAGTTCCAGCTGTACGAGTCTGTTCTTTCTCTCTCCCTTGCTCGAAGGCCCAACTGTCTACGGTCGCTTCCCGTTCTCTTTTTCTTGACCACTTCCACTCTTATTGTCATGCCATTGCTGTGTACATAGATGGCTCTAAGTATTCTGACGGCATAGGATTCGCAGCAGTATTTCCGGACAGTGTCGTACGAGGGCATTTAGTATCTTCGGCTAGTATTTTTACTGCTGAATTTTATGCCATTCTTGCAGCACTTATCCGTATTGCATCTATGCCTGTGTCATCATTTGTGGTTGTCTCAGACTCCCGTAGTGCTTTACAGGCTATACAGAAATTTGATACACCTCACCCCTTAGTCCTCCATATCCAACTTTGGCTACGCCGCATCTTTACCAAGCATAAAAGTATTGTTTTTTGTTGGGTCCCTGGTCATGTTGACGTACAGGGCAATGAACAGGCAGACACTGCTGCACGGTCAGCAGTACATGACCTACCAGTTTCATATAGAGGTATTCCATTTACGGACTATTTTGCTGCAAGAGCTACCCACCTTCACACCCGTTGGCATCAACGTTGGTCTACTATGCTCGGTAACAAACTTCAATCTATTAAACCGAGTATAGGTTACTGGCCGTCTTCTTATCACCAGTGTCGAGGTTGGGAGACTACTCTCTCCTGTCTTCGCATTGGCCATACTCGTCTTACTCATGGATATCTCGTGGAGAGGCGACTTTCTCCTCTCTGTGAGAATTGCCAAGCTCCATTATCAGTCAGTCACATTGTGTTGGACTGCCCACTTTATCAACGAGCACGCATAATTTACCTCTGTCGTCATCTTCGCTCCGCTGCTCTCTCTTTACCTTCCCTTCTCGCTGATGGACCCGCCATTCATCCGGACTCATTGACTTTTTGACAACAACTGACTTGCTTCACAAACTCTGATGCCTTCAGCCCTTTCTACCTCAATCTCTTGCTACCCTCTACCCCCGCACTATCCCCTGCCCCGCTGTTTTCTGTAACCTACTGATCATCCCTTCCCCCTTCTGCCACCCAATACCCTCGCTTCCTTCCCTACCCTGCAGCGCTGTATAGCCCTTGTGGCTTCGCGCTTCTTTTTGATTATAATAATAATCAAATAATAATCAAATAAGCAGGAAATAAGTATTCCTAAAAAAAAACTGGATAAGATTTTGACCTCTCAACCAATTGCTGAACTCAAGTCATCTATTGAAACTCAAAATACTTGGGCTTCTGTTGACAGCATTACCAAAATCCCGAATGCATCCTCTATGCTCAAGGTCACCTTTACCGACGTGAACATGGCTGTCACTGCTCTGAACGAAGGTCTTGCTGTTTACTACTACTATATCAGTCCCACCTACATAGATGCAGAGAGATACCACTACATCCAACATTGCTGGAACTGCTATTCTTATCTTCACACCACCAAGGCATGTCCAGTAAAAGACAAGAAGTTCTGCACTACTTGTGGTAGTTCCTGTACCGCCACTGCTCCAACACAACCAACGTGTTTAAACTGCAAAAGTAATGATCACCATACACTGGCAGCAAAATGTCCTACAAGAAAGGATATTATGAAGAAAACACAAGATGCAGCAAAGAAAAAATCAACAACACACCAACGTATGCCGCAATTCCAAAGTTGCAAGCAGACTCTACAAAATTACTTCAAGCCTCTTCTCTACAAGCCAATCAACAGTCATCGCCACCTCCACAGCACCACCACCACCAGTGGATATCTCTACCAAATTCTATTACTGCATGATGTTTGCTCACATGCAAAATGCTGCAAAACCTGGCTCTTTCAACACAACTATTAATGAACTTAACAACATGCCATCATTTAACTTCCCTGCAAGTCCACCATCAGCTGAGATTTTGAAAATAATCCTGATGATCGTCAGTTTTGAAGCGCCA